TCTGTTTCGCGATTTCCTTGGTCATGAATAGCCTTTGAATCCTTGGCACGAAGGGAAGGTGCCGTAGGACTCGGGCGGGTATCTTAAGCTGGGTCTTCTGGCCACCACTGTCACCAGACTCTACCTCCAGGAACCTGGAGGCTTTACACTTCGGACAGTACTTTGCCTCCTTGAGTTCTTCCCGAAATAGGACACACCCATTTGGACAAGCATGTATCTGCTCATATGGCATCTTTAGCATATATAACATCACCACAAGTGACCATCAATTGCATCTACGCGGTGTCCCTACTCCCTAATAGGTGAGGATAGGTCCTAATCCCACCCGCGGATACGTAGATGAGGTTAGTTTCCATGCTCCGCTCCTATCCGAGATGGAATTTCGGCAGCACCTCCCCGTTGTTCTCCCGATACACGTCCTGCAAGGGAGAGTGTGTATCTAGAGAACAACAGAGAGGTGATGCCGAAACACCGTCTCGAACCGGAGCGGAGCATGAAAACTAACCTCAACTACGCACCGCGGACTGTCCAAAAAGCGTGGACAATCTGAAATAGATACGGTCGCAGATATGCAAAGGTCCGCATATCTCCGACCGTATCTCTTTCGAACGGGAGACACCTAACTAGGTTATGCGACCAAAGACCACATACAGATAGAGGGGTTATACCTAGGGTGGCGGTGAGGTCCGGGTAGCGGGGCGGTGGAGAGTCGGTGCAGTGGCGAGTCGATGCGGTGCAGGAAGATCCGCAGCGCCGATGAAGACGATCGGGGTCACCGAGTCCCTCCCACAGGCCCTCCTCCTGCAAAAAAGGGCAAAAATGGTTAGTGTCGACTCAAAATTTTGGCAGCACCTCCCCGGGGGAGGTTCTCAAAACCTGCAAAAAACATGGCACGAAGGCCATCAACCACATATATACCAAACATGGCACGAAGGCCAACAACCACATATATACCAAACATGGACACGAAGGCCAACAACCACCAATATATCAAGAGGAGCCATGTACTTTAGTTCTCTTTCCATGCACATGAAAGTATTGAAGTAGTACAACAACAATTACTACTAACCCTACAACTACTACTAACACTACTACTAACAACTACTTAACTACTAACAATGCTAATAGTAAGAACTACTTAACTATTAACAACTACTACTACTAACCACTACTACTTACTAACTACTACTCCCTCCATCCCAAATTGTACGACGTTTGACTTTTTTGGCCTCAAGTTTGACCACTCGTCTTATTCAAAAAAATTTATGCAAATATAGTCAAATTTAAGTCATTCTTGAAGAATTTTTATTAATAAACCAAACCATGACGAAAGAAGTGATATTTTACACAAATTTTTGAATAAGACAAGTGGTCAAACTTGATGTCAAAAAAGTCAAACGTCTTACAATTTGGGATGGATTGAGTACTATTTACTAACCCTACAACTAACACTACTAACTACTACAACTAACACTACAACTAAAACTACTAACTACTACTACTAACACTACAACTAACTACTACTAACGCTACTAACTACTACTACTACTAACACTACAAGGGTAGGGCTTACCTTGGCGGCAAGAACGGCAAGAGCGAGGGCGGCATGACGATGCTGGGATGACTGCAAGAATATGAGGATCAACGGCCGGTTGGAACGGCGCGGGGATCGACGGGCGGTCGGGTCGGCACCTCCCTCTTCTTCCTCCTCCCCCTTCTCTTTCTTCCTCTTCTTCCTCCTCCCCTTCTCTTTTTTCCTCTTCCTCCTCCCCCTTCCTTTCTTCTTCTTCCTTCCTCCCTTCTTCCACCTACCTCTCATCGCTAGCCGGTGGCGGGGAGGAGCTGGCTGCTGCCGGACCACGGGCAGCCAGCCTCGTCAGGGATGGCCGACGAGGTGGGCGTGGTCGTGGCGCCGCCGGCGAGGTCGGGCGCCGGGCAGAGCAGAGCGCTGCCGCCGAAGCGCCGGGTCGTCGTCAGGGCGGGTCATGGCCATGGGTCCGCCGGGATCGGCGAAGGGAGCACGGTCGGCCGCGAGGCGAGCCGCCAGGCGTGGTATGCTGCTTGGCTGGCTTGTGTGTGCGTCAAGGCTGCCAGGTCGGTCGGGGGACTAGGCGGCAGAGCAAGGCGCGGGCGAACGACGGATCGGGCGAGGCGCGAAGGAGGGCAAGCGGCGGCGACGGTGAGCGTGAGCGCAGCGCGGGTCGGTCTCATTGGAATAGGTTAGGGTTGGGACGGGCCGACCTTTTTAGCCATGGGCCTTTGCCGGGTGCCAGGTGATGACGGCACCCGGCAAAGAATTTTTTTTTTTTTAAATTTCTTTGTCGGGTGCCCCATGACCTAGCACCCGGCAAAGGCTTCTTTGCCGGGTGCCCTGGGTGGCATCCAACAAATTTTTTTTTGTTTTTTGTTTTTTTGACCCTATTTTTTTGTGGGGACTTGCTACAGTAAATATATCCCTATTTTAAAATTTGGGACAATTATGAGTTTTTTAACTATATTTTCTTAATTTTTTCGATTCATTGAATTTTTAAGCTATTCCAAATTTGAGCTGCCAGGTACATGAAATAATGGAATTTGGTCATTCAAAAAAATAGTATTCATGATATTTAGGCTATGTGTCGGGGCCGTTCACGAGGAAGTGGCATGAAATGTCAGGGCATCATATTGATAACAAGTAACATCGACGATGATTTTCATCGCTTGAAGTTTATTTAAATTATATAAAATCCAAGCGATACATCAGAAAATGTTAAACTTATCGATGTGTCTTGTTATTTCATGTGGAGGCCCTGGTAAAATGGCCTGAAAGTTTGAGCAAGTTAAATATCATGAATACTATTTTTGAATGACCAAATTCCATTATTTCATGTATCTCTCAGCTCAAATTTGGAATAGCTTGAAAATTCAATCAATCAAAAAAAAAATTCAATGAATCGAAAAAATATAATTAAAAACTCATAATTGTCCCAAATTTTGAAATAGGGATATATTTATCTGAAAAAGTCCCCACAAAAAAAAATAAAAAAAAAAAAAAATTTAATAATGCTGCATCCAAGAAAGAAGCCTACCCTAACAAAGAAATTTAAAAATAAAAATAAAAAAATTCTTTGCCGGGTGTCTAACGGCGTGACACCCGGCAAAGGCTGACGACCCCTGATCGCCGTCAAGCCAGCCACCTTTGCCGGCGGCCATATTTTGCCGAGTGGCCGGCACCCGACAAAGACCAATTTTCGCTGACAGCTGGAATTTGCCGAGTGCCAGCACCCGATAAAGGTTGCTTTGCTGGAGGCCTTTCTTTGCCGGGTGCCGTCAGGCCTGGCACCCGGCAAAGAATTTCTTTGCCGGGTGCCCAATAAAAAGCACCCGTAAATTTTTTTTTTTCTCCCAGCAAATCAGCTGTTTCTTGTTGTGATTAGCTGCGGGAACGACATATGCGGCCCCGTGCAGCCACACCTCCCCGTCATGACCTCAGCCGCCGCAGCCGCGCCTCCCCGTCGTGATCTCAGCCGCCGCTCAATGTACCTCCGAGAGCTCAGCACGCACATCCCAAATGAGTAGATGTCCAGCCCGTTGTACTCAACTACTCATACACCTCCAGTGCCATGAACGTGAAGGCATGAACTCCGATGTGCCTATTCAACCAATCCAACACAGGGTCCGTGCCTCCCGTGCACCCAAGCAGCCATCGTCGTGGCCTCACCGCGCTCTCAAATGCCTGCACTACTGCCCGCCACTCCTGCGCAGGCCACACCTCGGCGTCGCCCACGCGTGCGCCCTGTGCCGCCATAGCCCGACTTTCACCTGTGCGCCGCCGCCGCGCGCTCAGATGCCTGCACTACTGCCCGCCACTCCTGCGCAGGCCGCGTCTCGGCGTCGCCCACGCGTGCACCCCGCGCTGCCACAACCCGACCTGTGTGGTTGTATGGAGGTTACGGACGGAATCTGAGAGCAAGCAGAGAGAGAGAGAGAGAGGAGGAAGAAGAAAGGGGCATTACACTCCATACAGAAAAATACCGTATGCGGGTATCAGCTTGGAGCTGGGCTCAGGGCAACGTTAGCCGTAGAGCGTGGCGTATTTCAACAACAACTAGAATTATAATGACATATTTCAAAATAGATAAATAGTAATAGTGTTTCTCGAAACCATAAAAATTATAATGGCATAGTTTGAATTAGCCCTATATATATATATATAAGAGTAGAGAGAGTGCAGCAGAGAACTGTAAACTGAAATTACTCTACCCAGATCCATGGAATTGAGTTTATTTTAATAATTATAATTTAGACATAAATTAATTAAGCTGATATGATTATATATGGATTATATTTGTATATTATTACTAGCTATATGAGAGAGATACTTACGTGTTGTATTTCTATCGTAGGGGAGCGAATTGAAGAGTATGTTATAAGTTGCAAAGTAGAAACATGGTATAGTGATCTATAGAATCAATTTCATCTTTCATCCTATGAATTTGAGATAGGCTTATATGTCAACTTTAGAAAGTGATGGAATGTTAAATTCCAAGTCAAATAGCTTAATTTATTAAGTAGATTTTAATTCCTCCGAATAAAAAAAATCCAAACAGCCCCTTAATTCAAATCCTGTCCTCGCCCTTGCCGTGTTCTTGCTTCCTCTCTCTCCTCTTCTTCTCCACCACGCAATCGCTAACATCCTGTTAGCCTTGGGAACGGGGAAAAATTCGGAGGAGGAACGGAGGAGAAACATGCAGACGGGACTGTTAAGCTAGGGGCGCGTTGATGGGGCAGGATAGGAGAAGCCATTAAATTAAAAGGAATGCAAATCCGCTTCCAAAGTAGCGTACCGTGGTGATACAGCCCAGCCCACCGTGGCGATACAGCTCGGCCCATACAACGGCCCCGTCCACCTGACCCGTGACAGCTAGGTTTTGCAGAGGGTTTACCGCCGTCGACGATTCCTGCCTACTGCCTCTTCCCTTCCCTCTGCTCTGCCTCTCCTCTCCTCGCGGCGTGCATCCATGGCGGCCTCCTCCGCCTCCCTCCTCGCCCGCCGCCTCATCCTGTCCCGCCGCTTCCTGTCACCCCCCCTCAGCTCCTTCTCCACCACCACGACGCCCAGTTCCTCGACCTCTTCCCCCTCGTTCAACGGATCCGATGCGGAGTCCGACCCTGAGCACGAGCACGACCAGCCCCCCGCGGGCCAGGACCGTCAGCAGACGTCGAACCGCCCGCGCCCACCAGACACCACCCGCCCTCTCGAGAACGGCCTCGATCCTGGCATCTACAAGGTTGGATTGGAGCTCTTGATTCTCCCCTCCCCCATTTTGGGTTTAATTTGGTGCCAACTGATCTGAGCTCACGCGGTGGTTTCCCGCTTTTGGCGGGCCGTGAAGGCGATACTGGTGGGGAAGGTCGGGCAGGAGCCGATACAGAAGCGGCTGCGGAATGGGAGGACCGTCGTGCTCTTCTCGCTCGGCACCGGCGGCATCCGCAACAACCGCCGCCCGCTGGATCGCGAGGAGCCGCACCAGTACGCCGACAGGTGCTCCGTGCAGTGGCACCGCGTCTGCGTCTACCCAGAGCGCCTCGGCACCGTCGCGCTTAAGAACGTCAAGACTGGGTGAGCCCCTTGCCTCCTTGTAGTAATGCTGTTGGAATTTACCTTCAAGAGAAATGTAATTTTCAGCCGAATGGCTGGGAGTTATCAAGAGGGCAGCTTTGGTTACTCCCATTTGGTTGCCATATATCGAGTATGGATTTGCCTCCATGGTTAATGTGCCATGCTTTGAAACTTGATGCAAAAAGGGAGGATAACATTAGTCCTTTAGCTGACATTTCGAACTATAACTGACGTTATTTGATTGGGGAAAAAATGAGTGTAGGGTTCTTTTTGTAGACAATTGCTTATGTAGCCATTTTGAGTTCACTTTCTATTGACATGATTTAGTGGCTACTTTCATGTTTTGGGTGGATTTCATTTTCGTTTTGTGAAGTGCAGCATTGTTCAGTTTTATTATAGTTTTATAAGATTCACAGTTCCTTTATCAGTTTGATTAATTAGGTTGATTGATTTTCTAACCTTAAGAAATGCTGATACATTCAAATATGCATCGATTGCAACATTTCAGAACTGTTCTCTACTTGGAAGGAAATCTTGAGACCAAAGTGTTCTGTGATCCAATTACTGGGCTGGTTAGACGCATAAGAGAAATAGCTGTGCGTTCAAGTGGTATGCTTCTTGCACTATCAATTTACATTTATAGCGTATATTGCCTTTTGTAGGCCATGATTGAATTTTCAACTTATCTATTCCTCATGGCTCTGTTTTAACTAGTTCCCTCTCTTGTCCTTACTACCATTTCCTTATTGAATAGAAGGGGAACAGTTTAGAATCTTCAATGAATGTATATCATCAAGGAATATAGTAAAATGAGGAACTATTACACCCACAACTTACTACTTTTAGAAATTCATCTGCACCTAGATTCATGCCAGCGGCAAATACAATATAAGCATTTGCATAGATGGTCAATCACATTCCAGCAATAATATAGCAATTTTAGCTTTTGGGTATATCTCCTCCTGTCCTACCAATGTTTAAACAATGAAGAGTTGGCGAATATTATACTGTTTGGAATTGTGAGTTTAATTGTTGATGTGACATGCCTCCACCTCTGTCTCAAATGTGCTGGTATAAAGATTGTAGACCAAGAATCTTGGAGATGTTCTCTTTCACTTTATTAGTACTCCCTCCGTTCCAAATTATAAGTCGCTTTGACTATTTTTGGTACATAGATTTTGCTATGTATCTAGACATACGTTATATCTAGATACGTAACAAAATTGATGTACCAAAAAAGTCAAAGCGACTTATAATTTGGAACGGTAAGGCACTCCTGAAGATTGCCGAAACACATATATCTTGGAATTTGAAGCCTGATATTTTCATTAATTCTTTCATGTGATAACACAATTAATAATGTTTCATGTGGAATAACTCTTAATCTAATCCACTTAAACTCGAAAAGCATAGTAGAACCACTTCCAAGTTTATGTGAACTAATACAATGAGACCATACAAATGTTTCATATCTGAGTTAAGCATCATCCTTCATTTTTCAAATATTCATGGCGGTAAACCCTTGTGTAGGTGGTTTCGCAGCGTTCAGAACCTAGGTTATTTGATTCTCTTTTCATAAGTTATTTGGCTCTATTTTCATATCTTTTTTGTTTCCTTATGCAAAGTAATGTTAGGTCTCATGTGGACAGATTATGTTGAGATTTTGTACTGGTGATTATACCTAACAGATTATGACATTGTCATGTAACAGGTCGTCTCTTGTTTCTGGGTAATGACACCAATGCTCCAAAGTTAGGTGAAGTCAAGGGCGTCGGCTACTTCTGATATTGATTTATGTTTAACTGAGCATACTGGTTGGTAGAGTCAACTGGGATGGAGGTATTATCACAGCGGTGTTACTTGTTCTATATTATTGATATCTGAGTTGACCAACAAATCCTGGTTGTGGTTTGGGTCTTTAGCTGTGTTGAATTTTATCAGATTCCTGCTTTCTCAATCTCTCAACACCATTGTAGATGCCTTGTAATCGTTGAGCAGCAACCTAATTTAACACTAGACATGCTCTACAGAGTTGTTTCTACCTTTCTATCCTTTTTAGTTTTTTTTTTCATAGAAAGGTTTCGTCTTCTCTAGGGACGAAGAGTTATTCCAATTTCCATCCCATAAAATTTATGCATTTCAGTGGTGTTGTGTCAGGAAGACTCGACACAAGTGGAGTGGAATGGCCCATGGCTCAAAGAGGCATCATGCCGGATTTATTTCATTATCATTGGCCGCCAAAAGTACATGGGGAGGGGGGTATTTATACGAGGGGACCTTTGGCTATGTAATTGTTTTTTGCCATTTTAGTCTTCCCTTTTGCAAGGTCTTTTAGCGATTCTACCTTTTGATGTCTTTTAGCTAGTCTAGAAATATTCTTGGGTGTTTGTCACCCATCCCTGGGTGGACGAAATCCTTTGACTGACAAAAAAATTGCTTCGATACTTTTTAGATGTAGATGTAGATGTAGATGTAGATGTAGATGTAGATAGAGAAGAGATATTGGGCCTGTTCGCTTCAACTACTTTAGCAGTACTTTTTACGAACAAACAATATTTTTCTCTCACAAAACATTAGCATAAGTTAAATTTTAGCGAAACGAACAGGTGGGTTTCTCGTGCACAAGGAAATATATGTGTTAGTGTTTCTGCGATGCTGAGGAGTGCTCTGATGTTTCCAATCAGACAACACAAGACTCCGACCCATCTCCGTCGTCTCGGCCCAAGAGAGGCCGCCAGCCCAATGCATGTCTTTGGTCCAGAGTGGAAGGGTAGCTCTTGTATAAATGCTAGCACACTTGAGAGCAATCATGCGAGAGCACTGAGGGTGACCTTGCCCGCATGGAAGCACAGCTGCAGCAGTCACTGCGCGACAAACACTGTCGTCGTACTTTGCTGCCCCTTGCCTATTCTTTTATTTTTTCAGGAGTCAGGAGGCAGCTTGGACGCATTTGGACGACCTCCAGACACGGGTAGGCCAAATTCAACCTAGCCCTATTTAGTTCATCCAAAATACCAACTTTAACACTATATAAAAAGAAGATTTTCTATCACATCAAATTTGTGGTAAATGTATGGAGTACTAAATGTTGACAAAATAAAAAACTAATTATACAGTTTGGTTGTACTTTATGAGACGAACGTTTTGAGCCTAATTAGTCAATATTTGGACAATTATTACCAAATAAAAACGAATAAGTTACTGTAGCTACAGTGCTTCGCGAAATCAGTCGGCGCCAACTTGGTGACCAACTAAACGTGGCCCTACGCGTGCCTTTGGAGTTTGGATTGCCGAGGGAATCTCTGTTACTGCTGAGGACCGGCTCCTAAACAATAGTACTTAGTTAACTTGTCAACCTCCTGATCAGAACTGACAAAGAGTCGATACACTCCAAGGCACCATATGCCGAATTGGCTTTCAGAGAGCGACACACATGCTTGCATAATTACGCCCGTACCTGGATTAAGGAGTTTGTCCCCCAATAAAGATACAGTTTGTTCAAACGCTCAAATGCTAGTCAGCACTGGGCCACCAAACTGATTGAATTTCGTCACTCAATGCTAGCCGGAAATTCACCTACATTCCCTGCTAGGATCGGTACTACTCGTATTGTTCTCTTTTCTTGCCGTATTTCGTGTATCGAGCTCTGCTTTTATTAATCGGTCAACGTATAGAATAAAATCAGTATGCATGTATGGATTTAAAAGACACTCCTAGAAACAACACACACACACACACACACACACACACACATATTTCAATAATCAAATATATGAAAATCAATTAAAATTTACATAAATATTTCAATACATATAAATATTTATCAATAAATAAATTTAAGTATAATAAAAAATTCATATTAAACCGAAGTACTTAAAACTAATATGATTATCCACATTAAAGATAATTGAAATTAACCTTTATATCATCAATAATATTAAAATTATCATAAATATTTTTTTGATAGTTTTATATTACAATGAATATGAGTTACAAAGTTATCATAAATTAAACTTAACCTTTATGAATATTAAAATAGTTTAAATGATCCCTACCGTCTGTTATATTAAATTATTATCATTTACATTTCATTAGTCATAGATATAAGTTTTACATGATTTTACTCAGTATTTTATTCTTCACGGATACAAATAATGTTAGATATTACGTATTTTTTAAATATAGATAGAGAATAATTACAAAAAAAGAATTCGAGTATATCCATTTAGCATCCATATTAAAATTAGATATAAACATAGATATACATATTAACATTAAACACAAATACGAATATCAGCCTATTTGGTTCATGAACAAACTTGCTATGCCAAAGCTTAGTCGTGACGTAGTTTTTCCGGCAACTGTTTAGTTCAATGCCACAACTAGAGTGTGCCACACTTTCCTAGCACCATGTCGCACATGTCAAACTCATTTTCATGCCAAATTTTGCTATAAGTATGGTTTTGATTTTATTCGTCACACTTTCTGTGACGGCCAAAGTTTGCTCAAGGTTAGACATGGCAAATTTTAGCAACAACCAAACACGCAGACATCTGGATCCATCCTGTGAACGGGAACAAGCTTTGTACATTTACTACAGGTTCACCGCAACATCAGAACATCTTGGCTCCTGAACACTATAGTAGTATACCAGTACTCTACCAGTAAACTATTCACCTGTCAAACGAAGGCGTGCTAAACCATCATGCCCTCCTCCTCTCCAACATAAAATCGTTTGTCAAATGGATTAGTACTGCTCACAGCCTGCCAGAGTCTGCAGCTTGTCTTTCCATTTTTCCACACGAAAACACACACATCAGAGCAGGAGCAGAGCCAGGCCGGGAACAAGACAAAGCCGAGAAGCTCTCGCGCTTCTCTTCTCTCTCCCCTGCCTCCTGCTGTGCTCAGTTTGGTGGGTTCTGCTCACCAGTCTCGCTCGCACTATACAAAGCCTCCATCCTACTGCACTCGGAGACCACGGACTGGGAGGGAATACCACACTCTCGCCCACAGCTAGGAACCATGAGGACCATCATGGCGAGGAGTCCCCACGAGTCCTCCTTCTCCTTCTCTCGGAGGAACTTCAAGTGGCCGGTTCTTGTCAAGAGCAGCAGCCATGGCGCCGCGGCCGGTGGCGGGGAGGACGGCTCCGGCAAGGGCTCGGAGGCCGACGACGAGGACGAGTCGGCCATGGCGTTCTCCTCCAGCTGCCCGTCGTTCCACTCGGAGGACTTCGTGTCCCCGCCGCCCAAGGCGCCACCTCCGCCTAAGCAGCGCAGCAAGAAGCGCCGCACGGCGGTCTCCCGGCTGCGCACGGCGCTTGCCGCGGCCATCGCCGGCCGGCACCGGCAGGTCGGGCTCGGAGCGCGGCTCACGGGCACGCTCTACGGCCACCGCCGCGGCCACGTGCACCTCGCGTTCCAGGTGGACCCGCGCGCGTGCCCCGCGCTGCTGCTCGAGCTCGCCGCGCCCACGGCGTCGCTGGTGCGCGAGATGGCCTCGGGCCTCGTCCGCATCGCGCTCGAGTGCGACCGCGCCAAGGGCGCCGCCTGCGCCGCGGCCGCAACCAATGGCGGCGGCTGCTGCAGGAAGCTGGTTGAGGAGAGGGCGTGGCGCGCCTACTGCAACGGCAAGGGCTGCGGATACGCGGTGCGGCGCGAGTGCGGCGCCGCGGACTGGCGCGTGCTGCGCGCGCTGGAGCACGTGTCTATGGGCGCGGGCGTCATACCGGCGGCGTGCGGCGGTGGCGAGGGCGACGTCATGTACATGCGCGCTCGCTTCGAACGCGTCGTGGGCTCGCGCGACTCGGAGGCATTCTACATGATGAACCCGGACAGCAGCACCGGCGGCAATGGCGGCCCGGAGCTTAGCATCTACCTTCTTAGAGTTTGATCGCGCATTTACCTTCGCTGCGCCTGCGACAGCCACCGCGATCTTGCATGCTTTAAGCTGCTGTCTTCTAGTACGTGTGTGTTCCTCGTGCTTATTGTTATTGGTGCTGTGGTTGTGAAAAATGCGTGTCAGTTTAGACTTTAGACCGCTGCAGAATGAAACTGATTCGAAAACTTTCTTTTTTGGGCGTTTCTGGGAGGTGTGGCTGGATTTCCCATATATTGTGAATTTGTGATGTTGGTCCATCATCTCTCCTCTGCAGTAAGGTCACAGAGTAAGGTCTAAGAGTAGAGGTGACGGTGTTGTAAGATTATAATGCAGTAAAGAGTTCTTCCACTAAATCGGTTTCGCTAATCAGCGTTTGTTACTTCAGTGGAACCGACGTAATCGAAAGAATGAAACAAACTCCTAAAGGAACTTGCAATAGAGTCTACAAATCGGTCCAAATCAAGCCACCTCTAAAAAATTGCTTATACTTTTAGAGATGAGTCTATTTTCAGCTGTCTTCTAAAAATCGATTTTAGAGAAGGCTTCTAAAAATAGGAGCTATACAAGGAAATTTGAATTTTTAAACGACTTTGGATAGAGAAACGAATAAAACCAAAGTTATGGACCTTGAAGAGTTATACAACTTTGTAGTAGATAACTTTTTCATTTGAAATCATCTATATAAGAAAAATTACATTTGAATTTCTCACAATTGAAATTCGAATTTTTCAAACGACCTCGGATGTAGAAACGACCAAACCCAAGAGCTATAGATCTCAAAGACTTATACAACTTTGTAGTTAACAACTTTTTCATTTAAAATCATCTATCCTAGAAAAATTATGTTTGAATTTTTCACATTTGAAATTCGAATTTTCAAACAACATCAGATTGAGAAACGACCA